CAAACAACACCTGAAGTGAGAGTTTCATCTTTCAAATTAGTAAATGCAACGGCACCTGTCATCCTATACACAGACTCAAGGGAAAAGGGATTGATTATTATATTTATTTTTGGCGATTATTTATAAAGAAACTAGTAAGATGGTAAATGAAAGGAAAACATTGAATATTTCGCTTTAAAATATAGTCATCTCTCAGGTAAGTCGTGAACACAACATCATGTCTGCATTTCGAGATATATAAAAATATTTAAATGAACTGTCCATGAAATTAACGCCTGCTTTTTACAATTTTACAATGTAAAAAAGAACCTAGCATGTGATCCATGTGATCCTGCCTAAAGTCAATGCTTTGGGTTCGATTAAAATATGTTGAAATAACAGCTTGCATTGAATATTTTTTATCATTTAAGATGAACAATTTGATCATTTGATGTAGCTATTAGCAACGCCTATCTTGACTTTTCATGTTCTGTTTCATATATTTTTATGACTTTTGTATTAGTTAAATGTATATTACTGAAAGCAAATACATGTATTTTCAGATGTTTGCTGTCACAATCACCCATTCACAGTTATTATATGTAGGTGCTCATTTTACCATAGAACAAGTAGATTAGTTTATAATATATTAAAAAATCGATATCTTCAAAGCCCATTATAAGATTGTTTTTACAACTTATAATAAGATGTATATCAGACGACGACAAGTCATGAGTTTGGGAAAGCTAAAAACAATCATGTTTCGGAAAGCTAAAAACAATCATTTTGTATAATCGAATTTTAAGTGGCAAACGTAAGACTTTAAAATAACTAGTTTATTTTATGATATTTTTAACAGAACCACAAAGAGGATCCAACTATATGAACTATAAAGATTATGACAACCACAAGATATTAAGAATACAACATTTGCTTATTAGATTTTGACCATTCGAGAAAGCATTACTAATGAATTTTGTCCGGTACCCATAAAAAAGTTCTTTCATCGAGGGAAAACATGGTTCAATTTCAACTTGCATAAAGACATCAATGGCTTCTTGTAATTGACCACCGATAATCTTTTCACACTAATGTGGAATCTGATTCGTTTATAATTTTGGTGTTTCCTATGTTAGAAAAAGCCCAACTTTTTATAATTTTTTAACAATTTTGAGAAATCCTTTGAGCAGCTTCCCCTTCACGAATGAGTTTAGAATTCACTATGGATAAAAATATAAGGTTAGAACTCATTTGAGATAGAGAATTCTCACTGAGAGAGGCAGTACAGTGGTTAATTGCTTAATATTTTTTGATGGTCTAGTTTCTCCTAATTTGATTTCTTAAGGTCAAAACACAAATAATCAAATATCATATTCTTTTTGTGGTCAAAATAGTTTACATACTTTTAAACCTTATACACAAAAGATGAGCCCATGAGCACTGCACTCCTTAGCAACTTGTATCAGATCAGCTTCAAAAGTATTTGAGTCATTGCTAGATTCACCGGTGAGTGAGACATCAGTGGTGGCCATCAAAACACATGTCTTTTCTTTCAATTTCATCCTCAAATGATTCATTCTACCCAACCCAGTTTTCTTCCACGGCAAGAAGAACCTTTGATCCCATACTTTTCTTTTCCAGGGAGGCAACCAAGTGTTTGTAATTTGCTTCATATGACTCATCATTGGAGTCATTCTTCTTAACTTTTCAGTCCCTAGCAAAATGATTGGTTCTTCCACGATTGAAGCATTTTCCATCATCCTTCTTCTCATCAGAAAATTTCCTTGAACTTCCATCATCCAACTTTCTTTGCCCTGATGATCCAAATCTACTAGATTGAACCTTTCTTGGACCATTCATCTTTATAGCTTCATCAAACTTATTGAACTATTTCACAATCATAACAACATTGGACGCAAGCTTGCCAATGTGATATGTGTTGTCATTGTTAATGTTTTGAGAAACGATGGATTTTTTTAATAACAACATCATAGGAATTGTCTTTGATGCTATCTTTCATGATTTATTTCCTTTGAATCTTTGATTCTTCATAGTTTCTTATGATTCCAAAATAGACTTTAAGAATACATAGTATTAATCTTCTCACTATTTTAGAGAACATCAACGTAATGTTCTCATTTTTCATTTAGGGATTCAAGAAACTTAAGCATGAGAGCATGATTATGCTTAATGATATTAAATTTCCTCATATCATTTATAAGACAACTAATAAGATTAAAATTTTCAGTTGGAGATTCATTCATGTAAGTATAGAAATGTTTGTATTTTCTGTTGAGATTGTTCTCCTAAGAAGCTTTGACCTCAACAGTGCCTTCGTATGCAATCATTAAAGTATCAAGCATCTCCTAGGAAAATACACAGTTTTTCCCAACATTCACATGTTAATGAACTTGTCAAGTTCATTGTACATAGATCTAGATTGATCACTATAAAATGTCTACTGATAAATTTTAAAATCACATCAACTATGGCTTCTAAACTAAAAGGTGTTAAATCAGTGATGACCACTCAACAATGAAAACTGTTATGCGAGTATCAATGTGATCACCAAGGATGCACTCAACAAGATTTGGTGAAGTGGGTTGACAAAACTTTCGATTTGAAAATTAGTCAAGGAACAATATCAAACACTCTTAAGAGATCATATAAATCCTATCAGCTAACTTTGACAAAGATGGATCTTCCAAGCGTCACAAATCATCCTAGTATTTGAAAATGGACAAAGTTGTTTATGAATGTTTTCTCCAACATCAAGAGCATGTGAATATAACAAGAGAGTTAATCATAGAGAAGGTGGTTGAGATGTTGAAGCTTTTGTATCCTAAAGATTCTTCTGAGCATGATCTTTCACAGGGTTGGCATGAGATATTCAAGTTAAGGCATGGTATCAAATCGTGTCGCCGATTCGGAGAAAGTGGCCCAGTCCACACACATGACATGGACAATAAACTGGAGTCTATAAGGGAAAAAATTAATCAATTTCTAATGAAAGACGTTTTTAATATGGATGAAAATTGTTTGTTTTACAGCTTGCAAGCTGACCATTCACTTGCAACAAAACAACTTGAAGGTAGGAAACAGGACACAAAAAGACTTATAATTGTTATCTGTTGCAATGCGGATGGCTCGGAAAAAATTCCTCTATGCATCATTAGTAAGTATGCAAAGCCACATTGTTTTAAAGATGTCAACATGAATAGCATAGATTGTGAATACCATAACAACAAAAGAGCATGGATGACTGGGTTGCTTTTCAAAGAATATGTTTGTTGGCTAGATGATCTAATACACGGTCGAAAATTTGTCTTGGTAGTGGATAATTGTCCAGCCCATTCAAAAAATATTCAAGGGTTGCAAAACATCGAGTTGATTTTTTTTTTGCCGCCAAACATGACTTAAAAAATTCAACCATGTGATGCTGGGATAATTAGAGCCTTTAAAATGTACTACCGTAAAAGGTTTATCGTAAGCTTTGGAAGGTTATGAGTTGGAAATTTGTTCCCTATAAAAGATAAATATTTTAGATGCCATTAACTTGGCCGTCTCGTCTTGGATAAATGTGAAACAAGAGTCCATAGCAAATTGCTTTCGACACTGTAAAATTTTTTCGGCTAGTCCAACCTGCTCAAATGATTTAAACGATGTAATTTCTGGAGAAGACATTCGTGAGCTTGAGAACTTGATTACGAGAATGCATTATCAGCACAAAATGGATGTGAATGAGTTGTTGGATTATCCAGGTGAAAATAATGAATGTTACGAGGTTCAAAGCATTATAGAAATTATCACGGATACCATTCAACATTTGGTTGATGATGAAGTTGATGATGATTCAGTACCTTTCGAACCGGTCACTCGGAAAGAAGCATTGTAAGCTGCAACAACTCTTCATAAGTTTTGTTGCAATACGAGAATACAGTGCCTCAACTCTTAAATGCAATTGGGAGATTTAAAGATGAACTCACTATAGATTTGAAGTTTACAAAAAAACAAGTGACTATAGATTCATTTTTTACTAGACAATTCTAGAATTTTGGAATATTTTAGTAATTATTAATTTATAGTTTCGATCGGACCAATATATATACATTGGGATTTCAAAAAATTATTATTTTATTATTTTATCGATTGGGGTCCAATTTTGTACTGGTCCTAAGTTGGAAACCGGAAAATTATTAATTTTATCGAGGTTATTAATTTATCGAGTATTAAATTATAGAGGTTCTACTGTAGTAGTGGTGCTGATAAGGTTACTAGAATATATCTCAAATCGAACTGAGTGAATGGTTGTTGCATACCTTGCAGGAGTGCATCGGACCACCAATTTATAATTGGAGTAGAAAACATCCTGACCTTACTTCCTACCGAACTGATATGAGGTCTTGTCTCATTTCTGGCCATACACCCAAAGGTACGAAGAGAAATACTTGGAAACCGTTATACAGTTGTACAAGGTTCAATCAATCATTCTTATACAATTGTTCCTGTTTCTTTGAGTTTCCATGTACTTTATGTACTATAGTGATATCACTTTGTTCTTTTCTCACCTCTTGACTTAAGTTCATTACCTTTTGGTTCAGTTCGATATCAAATGTGGTTCAAGGTTTTCACATAATCTGGGGGTTATACGAGGTTTAGAAGTTAGGCTATTACGAGGGTATAGGAACGATTACTAACCCTATACGGCTATACCCTATTAAGTCCCTGTAGTTTGGGTTATTATTCGCCGTTGTGAGTAGTAATTCAAACTTACGATGTTTTCAATGACGACCGTTGTGAGTGGATAAGAGTGAGGCACCTGAATTGAATTCTGATGAGACGGTTTGACGACTTTTAGAGGCCATCATTGTTGATAATTGTCTTTTCATTTCCTTTCCATTTAAGGGGTGTAGAGTGTGTAATTGTCATTGTTTCTCTCTTATAAATGCTTCTTTGATTCCTTATCTTTTCTTTCATTCGAACTTCTTCCCAATACCATTCGACTTCCTTTTTCTTCTCTCATGGCTAGCAAAGACATCTACAACATTGAGAATGTGACATCCAAACTTTCCGTCATGAGTTTGGTTGCCCTCTTGAATAAATACCACATTGATCCCCAGTTCCATCCTTGTCTTCCAAAGCCAGGAAATGCAATTGTCGATGCACCGGCTGGCTTTGTCGAAGTGTACAGGCTTCATTTCAAATCAGGGCTTCATCTCCCTACTTCTGATTTTCTGGAAGCGGATCTTGATTATTACCAACTGCACATTGCTCAAATTTCTTCAAACGGGTTTCGAAAGGTGATTTGTTTCAAGCTCTGGTGTTCTACCCGGAATATTCCTCCTTCTATACCTTTCTTTCTTCATTTCTATATTACCATATCTAATGGTGTTTGAATCTCCTTTTCCCTTCATCATGGCTTGGTAGAACTCTATGATGGTCTTCCTACTTCTGTCAAATGGTGGAAATAGGAGTTCTTTTTTGTTGACGCATCTGCTTTCTCAAGACCCATAGAATATGGTGTTGCTGCTAATAGGGGTTCTGATCCTCCGCCCGACTTATCCGCTGAAGATCATGAAACCATCGACCGTTTGGCTCAGAACTATGGTAAGTGGGGGGACCCTAAAGAGGTAACCCTAGGCATGGCTGGTTTGAGTCCTCTTTGGAACAAACTGGGTAAGAATTCAGTTGAAACTATGGACGGTCGAGAAATAACTCGGCTATACCGTTTGCATAAGAAACATTTAGAAGACTCTGATGGGTTTTTAGCATAACAACAATTCCTATGTGTACATGCAATCCTAATGCTTTGGATCTACGTTTTACTCTAATTGAACATGCAAACTTCAACACAAAAGGAGAAACCCTAGGAAGTGTCTACTACTTTCAAAATTTATATGAAACTAGGGTTAGGTTACATACCTTGATTGTTATATTGTAATAATAATGATTCCCTTATAGATCTTGAAGATTGAGAACTTTGTGTCACAAGTGTAACACTTCTAATGGCTCACATACACACAATGCAATAGAATGATATGAGAGAGGATGTAACATCCCAAAATTCAAGACCAAAAATTTCATTTTTAATTAAGTTATTATAAAACCAATAGTATAAAAACATCCAAAGTGTCATCCCATATCAAAACCAGTATGTCAATAATCAAAACATGTCATAAAGAAACAATATCAAAGTATAATCCCAAAGATATCATGTGCGGAAAGCATAGTGTGATGTGTTGCGATCATGCCGACTCCTTTCCTTTTGAAGAAGAAGTACCTGAAACCAAAACTGAAAACCGTAAGAACGAAGCATATTGAGTTCCCCCATCATACCACATTTCATACAATACACATACTGCCTAGCATATCTGGGTGCTGGCCTACTCCTTCGCTCTCTTTCAACCGGTAACTGTCGAGCATATTTGGGTGTTGGCCTACCCCTTTGGTCTCTTTCAACCGGTAACTGCCAAGCATATTAGGGTGTTGGCCTACCCCTTTCGTCTCTTTCAACAGTAACTCGGGACTATTTCACCCCTACCACTACCACGTAATATCCTAGCATATAAGCATATCATTCACATACTGCCTAGCATATGTGGCTGATGGCCTACCCCTTCGATCTCTTTCAACGAGTAACTAGGGACTATTTCACCCCTATCACTATCACATAATACCATATCATATAAATCATAACAGATAATGGCAAACCATATAATTATCACAAAGACAATCATCTCTACTATAATATCCTAGCATATAAGCATATGATTAACATACTGCCTAGCATATTTGGGTGCTGGCCTACCCCTTCGGTCTCTTTCAACCGGTTGCCGGGGACTATATCCCCCCTACCACTATCACATAATATCATAGCATATAAATCATAACAGATAATGGTAAACCAGACAGTTATCACAAAGACAATCATCTCTACTCTATACACCTACTAGTGGGCCGACATTGGTGCCTTAGACCCACTTCTATATGAAGGTAACTCACCTCACACTGCTAAAGTCCCGTGGACAAACCTCTAGTTGCTTGATGACAGATTCCCGAACTGTCAACATCACCCAATTAATAATTGGGTTCCAATTCATAACCATAAGTCCATGCTTGGGGTAAAAGACAACTTTAACCCAACTTAGCTTGATTCAAGCGTAAGGCCCAATCCAAAGGCCCAAAAGTCAAACAATGAACCAAAGCCCAACATATGGCCCAATTTTCTAAATCAGGCCCAAACCCATCACATGGTCTTACCTTACGGCCCAACCATTTAATCTAGTCCAACCATTTGGCATTCTGATGGTCCAATATCTGATAATTATCAAGGGCTAGTTATGGCCCACCTATGGCCTAATTTTTCAAATTGGGCCCAAACCCCTCACATGGGCCTTACCATAAATCCCATCCAAATATTCTAGTCCATGTACTTGTTCTTGGATGGCCCATCAATAGCCCAATCATCAAAGCCCAATAGAAACGCCCAACTGAAGGCCCAAGCAAAATTCAGGTTTTCACATAAAATGACGATTAGGGTTAAGTGTTCTTACTTAACCCATGAAGGACTTAATCCATTAAGTCCATCACTCTACTAAGTCAACCATACAATATGGTCGGGATTAATTCATAATTCCAATCCAATGGTCCAAACATGCGGTCCCGACAATTCCAAATTAACATATCCAAAATTAGGGTTTTGCAAACCCTAATTAGGAATTCCAACCCAATCGCGTTCCAATTAGTCCATTTGTTAAGTTTTTATGTTAATTAATCATTAATTAAGTCGGGCACCACCCACTACCACCTCGGGCAGTGGTGGTCTACGGCGGCTCACGACGGCAGCGACCACCTCGCGGTGGTGGTTATGAATTTCCTTGATTATTCCGGCCACTAAATACAATTATACAACAATATCCAAATGAACACACACACATAAACACACACTAAGCCACCCTTGTGGCGGTCGACGGTGGTTGGGGGTGACAACCACCACCTCACGGTGGTGGTGGTGGATTTTCTCGGTTTTCCGGCCAAACCATCACACCCTCTTGACATTCCCAGCCAGCAACAACAACACATACGCTTACAAACGTTAATATGAGTGGAACCACCCCCTGGTGGCGTGCAACGGTCCAAGAGCATCTAACATGACGAAACAGTCTCACGGTGGTGACGATGTAACTGCAGAAGAAAGGTGGCGGCGGTGGTCCCGACTGAAAGGACGTCATGACTTTGGTCCTCGTCCTCGGCCATGGCAGGAATGGCGACAGCGAAATTATCTCGGTGGTTTCCGGCTTTGAAAACGAAGGCGGGGGTTGGAAAGTGACAAACGACGGCAACCACGATGTCAACTTCTTCTCTGGTCTTCAACTGGTGCAACGCCCTTTCCCGGTTTCCCATCGGTCTTCGTTATCGCCGACTACCAGAGTCACTGATGGGCATTCGGTGGTGCCAAGTGGTCGGAGCTGCTAGCGGCGACTGGAGGTAGGGGAAGGAGGGTAGCAGTTGTTCAAATGATTAGGGTTGGGGTTGTGGGATGAGGGTGACGGTTATAAACCCCAACTCCACATGAAATTTAGCCCATATTGACACAATCGGTCCCTCCTCTCCGAAATTTTTTCAATTTAGCTCCAATATTTACCGATTATACCCTGACTTCTGAAATCCGTTTCAAACCAAATACGTAATTTACCCAACAGCCCACAGTCTTCAAAATCCTTTCATAATAAGTCCAATACTGTAACAATCCGTTATTTATCAAGTCAAACTCTTCAAATAAAAACTCTAAATTTTATTGATTTTGTTGGTTTTATTTATTTCGTTAAGTTTGTAAGGTTTAAAGTACGATTTACATTATATAAATGATATTTTTATATATATACAAGTATTTTGAAAAAAATACTCTCGATGATGAAAGTTTTTCCTTTGAAATAAGAGAATCCTCGGACCGAAAACTCCTTCTCGGCCGAAAACTCTTGGACAGCAAACCGTTTTCTCCCGAGAACCCCTTTCGGGCCGAAAACCCAACCGGTATAAGTATTTTTCCCCAAAAAATAAGTCATTTATTCACCTTTTCAGTCGAAAACACTCTCGTTTGCTCTCAATCATCATCTAAGAACATTCAAAGCTCCAAGAAAAATCCTTCGAATCTTCATATTTTTCACCAAGTACACCAAGAACAACATTCAAATCTTCATCTGGCCGAAAACACGTTTCCAACCGAAAATACATTTCCGAACGAAAACACCATAAGGCTGAGAACTTGGTTCTCGGTTGAGGGTTTTCGACCGAAATCAAGGATTTCGGTGAAGGCTAGACCGAAAACTCTCACCAACACTTCAAATAATTTTCGGTAATTATTCCTTACATAAATTAAGTGTTGTCTAACACTTTAACTAATTACTTCACTAATTTAAATACAATTACGTGTTTAAATAATACTAGGATACCAATAATTCCACATACACTACCCCGAGGATCATCTCTACAGTTCCTGTTGGATAAGGTGTCTAAGTCCATAACTATATTTTGTATGTACTTGACCCGATCCGGCATGGTCCATTTGGGTTGCACTTCACCGAAACAATTTGTATGGTTAATCTTTTGAGAATAGTATTTTTATGATTTATTAATATATTATAAGTTATAATATATTAATATGAAATCATATTATTTAATTAGTATTGATCAAGAATTAATTTAGAATTATTTTGGTGATCAAAAGAGACTAAATAAATATGGACTCTTATATATGTAGAATGGTCAATGTTCATTAAGGATGGGCTAAGCTTGCATGGATAGTCCATGGAGTTTTTGACCCATGGATCCTAGGGAAATGAAAGGTCATGGGTATTAGGGTTTACATGGATGTAACCCTAATCCACCATACTATATAAGGAGGTCTTTGGAACATGAAATGGCACTAGTGCGTGACAATAAAGGGTGGGCCGATTTCTACATGGTGCATACTATTCTCTCAAGTCTTCCAAGGTGTTTTGGTGATTTGTGATTCCTCTTGAGGCATCCACAATTATTGGTGCTGGGCTCTCAAGACTCCAAGCAATCAACCACAAGAAAATGTATGTTATTCTACTAAGGTTTTTATATTACAAGTACCCCATAACATCCTAGTTAGGTTGAGAACCTTGGAAAATGATTATTTGCATGTATAATAGAGAAAACATAGATCCAAGGTTTCTAGGCTTGCATGTACACCATAGGAGTGTTAGAATGCTCAAAACCCTTCAGTGCTATCAGATACTAGGCTTTTTTTCATTATACTTGATGCAAACTACTTGAAAAAGTCGATTTTTTGCTCACTGTTCAGTGAAGTCGTCGAGTCCACGGGGGGGACTCGACGAGTCCAGGTGAATATTCATCCTACTCGTCGAGTAGGATTCATGCACTCGACAATGGTTATTATCAAATTTTCAAGTTTTATATATGTTTATATGATTCTTGAAATTGTTGACATGAATGTTCATATTTATGAGTTTTAGTAGATCATATGAATTATTTGCAAATTGTTTGTTAATGTAATTATTGATGTAAATGCCAATTAAAGGACTCCATAAGTTGTCCTCAAGTTATGGAATTCCAAAAGTCTTTTTCTTTAAAACCATTAAAACTCATAAGCTATAGAAATGAAAAGTCTTGAATAGTTTCAAAACTTGCCCTCAAGTCTTGGAATTTGTAAAGTCTCACACACACTTTAATTCCAAACCCTAGAGTTTTAAAAGTTAACATTCAACCCTTACACTTTATACTATTA